CCCTAAATAGCGCCTGCTACGCAGGCTACGTATGATTTTACGTTGTATGAAATCAAACAGTGTCCAGTTTTTTTTTTGAACACCTGGTATAAAAGTGTTTTGAGTTCTTGTGACATATATTTCTAAAAAGAGTTTTGAGTTATTTGGATTTTGGACGTATATTTCTCAGTTACGTACGGGAATTGGATATATAGGAAATTTAGGAATGTTGTGTTTTTTTGTTTGGTTTGTTAGGTTTATGTATCATGAAGCCTGACAATGAGGTTTATTAGTGATAAACTTTAAGATGTTTTAAAATGTAAACCTAGCTCAAGCTCATGATTTATTATACTGAATAAAACATTTTTGACCAGTTGGGTTTTTTTTCTATGCTAATTCTAATAAAATATAAACTGCTGTTACTGTGTACTGTAAATGTGAACGCTATAAGGCATAATTATGTGATATCGCCCTGCAATTTTTATCGGATTCGTATCTGCTTATTTTTGCTAGAAATTCATTATTTCCAATATATCGTTTATGATCATGAAAAAATACGTTTATAATAATTAACGCACGCTGTACAGCGTACACAACTTAAGTTCGGATCGGATCGGATTACGAATTTTAGCATCGGATCGGATCGGATTTTATAAACATTGTTTCGGATCGGATTACTTTTTTCATCTTCGGATCGGATCGGATTCGGATTGAGAACTTAGACAAACCATCGGATTGAGAGAGGTCAATCCGATCCGACGCACACCTCTACTCCAGATATATATATATATATATATATAGAGCTCACTGGGCAAGCGACGTTTTTGTCCATACGGACGTCACTCGAATATTAACCTGAATGTCAGGCTTTTATTTTTTCCGCCTTGCGCTAAAAGGTGAAAATCGGGCGGAGGAGAGACGCGCGGGCGAAATTGGTATGTGTAATTTTGGCGGCATTTTGCATCATAGCGCTCGTGTGAGGAAGCAGAAAACTTTAAAAATCTTATGTTTTGTCATACGTGTTGAAGATTACCACAAACTGACAAAAACACAACCTCGTTCCCAGGCTCTTTGCTTCCCAAGAGCAAAGAGCCTGGGAACGAGGTTGACAAAAACACAGTTTTTACTCCAGTCCCCCTCGGCAATCTGACGTCCTTGTTGACAAAAACGTGTTAATTTTTTCACAATTCCCATATGTTAAAAGACAAAGAAAGTCCGGTTAGAAAAATAATTACTACAGAGTTGGATGTTTTCGAAAAAATGGGAACGCAACTACCGTTGCTATGGGGACAATGGTGCTTCAATAAATATGGCCGATATTTTGGGTTTTAAATTATTTAACTTGGATATAATATAGTCGACCGTCGGTTATCCTCATTTTTTATTTCATAAAAAAATTGAAAAATTTTGGCATAACAGAATTTTTTTAAAATCACGAAAATGATTCAACAAAAAAAGAGAAAAAAAAACTAAAAGAAATCATGCTATAAATAAAAATGGGTGTCACCTACCTTATTTCTGAGTTAAAGGTAGGGTACAGTCCGTATGTAAACAAAGCCTTTGTTTACATTTCGATATTTAAAATATTGAACTTTATTCGACAACTATTTATATTTTCATGCTTCTACATTATAAGAAATTATCAAGATACAACAATCAGTCTTTGCAAGAACATAAAATGAAATAAAAACCTAATTAAAGTGTTTATATCACGGCAGGAGACTCCTATGTGCGCATGCGCAGACCGGACTGTACCCTATTTTTAAATTACTTTAAACCAAAAATATCCGCCATATTGAAACGTCATTGTTGCCATAGCAACGGTTGTTAGGAGGAAGTTTTTAAAAACTTCGAACTCTTTAGTTATTGTTTTAATTCAAGCCAGACACTCTTTGGTTTTCGACAAATAATTATTGTCCAGAAATTTATGTCCAAATAAAAAAATCGTCCATTTTTTAAAAAAGTGCATTTATTTATTTATTTATTTATCTAATAGTTTCGCCATATTACATTAATACATAATCTATAACAAGAAAAATACACATGACCATAGGCAGGGTGACCGCAATAGCGTGAGCCAATTACTGCGGGCCCGAATTAGGACATACAAACATAAAACACTATCTAAATAAAACTATAACTATAATAACAGCACTTAAGAGGCTGAACTAGAGTTCTTATCTCATACCTAGTGTATTAGCGGTTTTCCTATTGGCTACGAGGAGGTGCGCTCAATCTCGAACCCACCTGCTGACGTAAGTTTAGGAGATGGGTTCGAGATCGATGTTTTGGCGGCGACCATTATGAAGCGATTTGAACAAATTTGCGACGAAAATGTAAATAAAAAATAAATTAACTGTTTTCAATTGTTTTATAATTATTATTTTTTTATTTTGTTTGATGAAAATGGAATATTAATTCTGTATTCAAAGTGAAGCAAAGAAAGATGGCCGCCGAAATTTGTTCGGCACAAGCAGGTTTATATAAATTTTGGCAATGTTTTCGCAGAATGTGTGCATTTTCTCTTTTCAAGAATAAGGGAATATTGTAGAGAATTTTTTTAGCTTTAATTTAAGCCTAAGTTTGTTTGTTTGCGTAGTATGTTGGCG